GTGTTTCCTCTCTTCTGTCTTCCTCTCTTCATCCTCTTTCTCCATTTTTTCTTTCTTCCTTTCATTTCACTTTTCCTCCAAGTGCCTCCTCCACTGCTCCTTTCCCCCCATCCCTCAGTTTTCTCTCCTTCATCTTTTTTTATGCTCTGTCTGCTCCTTGCTCTCCCAAATAAAAATTCCAACAAGCTTCATTTGCAGACAGGAAGGGAATCTGTGTTGCCATAACAGTAGAACATTTTATGTGTGTGTATTTCAGTGTTTCACACACAAGGCAGCGGTGACGTCTCACACCCATGAACACTGGTAGTTGTATGAATAAGAGAGTTTTTTAACAAATATGTAAAAGAGATGAGAACATGGTAAATAAATCACAGTAATTAAAGGAATGCATATTTTTAAACCACTGGCACTTTTACTACTGTGGGTCTGCCGAGTCAAAGTGTTTATACAGCCTTTCAAAATGCTTTGTAAGCACTTTTTTCTGTGTCATCCCAGCATTATGCTAGGAGTATTCATTAGGACTATGAATATTTATTGTTTCCCTTTTTGCAACAGTGTTACATCGCATTGTTTCAGAAGTATTTTGTAACAGTGTAGTTTGTCACCATTTAATTATTATCCGAGTGGTTGTGTGGAACATTTCTGTTTGAAATGCCAGTGTTTTGAGTTGTTCAAGATTTATTGCTTCAAATTAGCTGCTAAACATAGGTCCCTTTGGACTACAGTCACAAAAGAAAGAGGAAATCAGCAAATAGTTGCTGCTGGAATCAAGGGTTGGTATTTCTGCCAGAAAAATGACTTAATCGATTACTATCGGTTATCAAAATAGCCACTGAGATCAATGTTAAAAGTTCTCATGCATGACCTGATATTTCACAGTTTACGTAACAGTGTGGGCTCAGGTGGTACTGCAAAAATTTAGGGATTAATTGACAAAAAAATAAAACCATTTCTAATGCCACAGTCATGCCATGTGTGCCTGTACTGTAAATGTATATGACACTGTTCCACTGTACAAATGAAGTTACTGACCAACCAAAGCAGGTGGAATTAGACTTCTTCAAGAAACTACTTCTTATCCGGCAGGTCTGGATTTTCCTCTGACACATCATTCCTTTGATTATTTTTATGTTTAATGACAATTTCTACATTTTACAGTAGCCATGAAGTGCGGGCAGCTTTTGCTTTAAACTTTGTCCTGTAGTCAGCAGTAAGGCCATCTGCACTGGGCGGACCCAGGTAGTGGCAAGGTAGAAAAATAAGTGATGGAAAAGACATAGATGCATTTAAAATTCATTCATTCATTCATTTTCTACCGCTTAATCCCTGAGCGGGGTCACCGGGGGGGCCAGAGCCAATCCCGGCCGGCAATCGGGCGAAGGCGGGGTACACCCTGGACAGGTCGCCAATCCATCGCAGGGCTTGCATTTAAAATGTAAAATATATAGAAGTGTAATGTGTTTATAAGTCATTATTATTGAGATATATCTGATAGATTTAAACAAATTGAGCCTTATCATTCCAACAACTCTCGGCTCTCATTTAGCTCTAAGCCAAGTGTGAGCTCTTTTGTACAGGAACACTGAAATGACACGCACATACTCGTGAACCCCTGCATTTTGGCGCGTACTTCTTACACAGCTTTTTCCGTGTTGCTATAATGCTACTCAAATTAAAGCTGAGACTTGGCACTTTAGTCTCCATGCTTTTATTCCAAATTGAATGTGCTGAAGCACAAAGCCTGAGGAACAAAACTGTGCAGCTGTCCAAGTATTTTAGTCTGGGCTGTATACTCTGTAGATGTTGCCACTTTTCTCTGGCCACATCCCCAGCCGGCATTAAAACCTTTAACAGATAGTGCCAGAAATGTGAAGGTTTTCCAGTCTGTCTAGTAATAAACTATGGTCAAAATGGTCTGGCTGCATGTTAGGGGTTAGATATGGTGGTCTTATGATTGTCTTATGACTGGTGCAGCTGAAGCTGTTAAACTCCATGACAACTTCACAAGTAATTATCAGCCGCCCAGGACTGAGGCACTTTTAAAGTTTACCTAGCCATTCCTTTGCTGAGCTGAATTATGGGTCCTTGTTATCTCTGTGTTTCAGATTTTGCAGCAGAAATGTATGGTGCATAAAAAAAGGTTTACCTGCCCATCCCCTTTCTGCTTTGACATCATGTCCATCCTGTGCTGTTGGCTTGATGACAGCTTGGTTCTTGCATTTGGTTTATATCTAATTGCTGCCATTCTAGTATAATGGTCTCTGTCCCATTGACCTTCTCAAACGTTAGCCACTCCATCATCAACTTCGTAGCGTGTTTAACAACAATTATGACAACTCTGCTTGGTGCTGATCTGCCTGTGTGATGAGGAACACTGAACATTCTGTATTTTCCAAGGTTGCAGGTGTTCTTCATTCTGCTACATAGAAAAGTCAATCATATTAGTCATGTTTGCTGTAGTGTAGTCTGATGTCATTATTTTACAGTATTCCAGTTTTGAATCAGCTATTTTTAACATATCTCTTGGAAACTGAGTTTAATTTGTTAAGTCTCTTATTCAGTCCATTGACTTTTGAAGGAGGCTTATGTGGTCAAGAGTCACTAGTATCTATATGTTCTACTTTCTCTCCTCCACCCTCTCCAGCGCTTTCTGTTTACTCACCGTCGTGTTTTTCCTCTCGCTCCTGACTCTCTCTTATCCTCCTTTCAATATCAAATCACAGTCTTCAATCTAAGACTAATAGAATACACACAGTTCCATTGAGTTTTCCCATTTTGTTTTTTAACTTTTATATTTGCATCTCCATACTCTTTCCAGGACAACCATCCATCAACATTTTAAAGAGGTGGAGGTGGAGACAGATCTGTTAAGGAGGCTCTGTGCCTCCCCAGGGAACTGCAATTATACTCAGGCATGCTCAGTGTTTCTCCCACACAGTAATGACTGAGTGTGTAAAATCTCACCAAGCAGCAAAAGCAAACTCTTTAGTCCTCCTGGCATTGTGCAGTTTGACCAGACGGTCAGTGCGCTGTACCCCTCCTCCACAGTGGAGCATGACTGAATCCTAAATGAAAAAGTGTGAATCTGCTTTTATAGGTGCCATTAAGAAACACTTTCATTAAAATCACACTGAGTGCTGTGACTGAACATAGACAGCACTCACAGTGTTTCTTTTCCGAGTTCCTCTGTGTCATGTCACTAATCACATCACCACCTTTTCCTTCTGTCTGAACCACAAAAAGAACAGGAGAGAGTGTGAGAGAAAAATCAGCTGCTTTACTTGAATTGTCATGTCTGTTATAGGCCTAGAACTGCTGCACATGGTGTTATGGTAGCCATATGAGAGACAGGTTTTAAATCTGAGAATAAAAGAAACTTGCCCTAATGTGCTAAAAACATGTGACAGGAAATCACAAAATTCTGTATATATGTCTCATACAGATACGTTTAAAAGAACAGTTCAACATTTAGAAAAATATACAGCACATTTGCTAGGAGTTACATGACAAGACAGACAAAATGCTCATGTGTGTGCACACTATAAAGACTGGACATGGGGGAATACTGTAGCTAACCTGGCTCAAAGTTCAGAACTCTCCTTACCGCTACCTCTAAAGCTCACTAATTCGTTAATTGATGGAGTAATGTGTACACAAACTGAAATGTAAAACCACCAACTTGTGGTTTTACTGGAAGTTGCTTGATGTAACATCCAGGAAAACTGGCTTCAGATCCATACTTAGCATACAGATATTGTGGCGGTATCAATTTTCTCATCTAAAACTAGTGAGTATAAATTGAACTGTTCCTTTGAGGAGGAAAAAAGCTTAATTTCAAGAACAGCTCATATTGTTGTCTGCCTTATTTGTTTCTAAAATGTTTTTATTAGCCTGAGGACAATGCATTTGTGCTCTCGAGAAAAACACAAAATAGACTGTAGAGGTATTGTTTACACAGGTGGCCACCTTCATTACTATCTTGTCACTTTTGTCCAGACAGGTCTTATGAAATATGTATTCCTGTAGTTCTCAGGGAAACAACAACCCTTACCAGCTCTGTTTGTTTGCTGTCTTGTTCTTTCCTCTGTGCATTCATCCTTTCTTCCCATCCCTTCATCCCTCCTTTCTCAGAAGGAGAGAAAAGCAGGAGGTTTGTTAAAGCTCCTGTCAGGAGCTGCGGCCAAGAAGAAATCTCGCTCACCCCCGTCATCCCCACCCACCCATGACCCCTCAGCGGCCGGCCAGGGTGCATTGGCCACTGACCCCACACATCATCCTCAATACCACCATCACCACGCTCGCTCAGGTTCCTGTCCAATGGCATCCCAGGGGCGAGCGGGCTCCTGTCCGATTGAGAGTGAGATGGCAGGAGCGATGGGGCTGGAGCCTCTGCACAGGAAATCCGGTTCCCTGGACACCAACTTTCCCAAGTCGCCCCCGGCACCACGCACTGGCAACCCTCTCATGGTTCTCCGACCTGAACCCAAACCCCTGTCCAGAGAACGGTGGGCACACACGCAAATCGGACACAGTAATTTAAGAGTTTTATTGCATCAAGTCATCCATCCATCCATCCATTTTCCACCGCTTAGTCCCTGAACAGGGTAGGGGTCCGGAGCCAATCATTTAGTACGTAGAAAATGATAGCTGCCAGAAATGATTTGATTTCTGACAAAGTGCTGCAATTTAGGGCCATGAGGATTTGTCATCAGAATGAGTGTGAGAAAAGAAAGGGTGCCCTTGGGGGAGTTACTAAACTCACAGATAACAAAACTACCACCAGAGGCACCTTATAAGCAATGTCATTACTGCAGTGATTCCACTATGTGGGAAAGTAACACCAGGGTTTAATCAAGGTGACACTTTTCACTTGGAAGCTGATTGGCCATCAACCATGTCCTTACTGTTGGTCTTTAATTTAAAATCTTTCATTACAGTACAATCAGTATGTCAGCTGCAGTCCCTTAGGGCTGATCAGGGACAGCATTTATACTTCTGTCAATCACCAATTGATCCTCATCCTTTTATCTCCAAGACATCCGAACGACCACAGACCCGCAGCCCCCCCCCCCCAACACACAGGAAGGAAAAGCATCCGATGAAACCGTCTTTATGCTGATTATTGTAAAAGAAAAACAAAACACTCTCCACTGATGCATGCACTAATCAGCCACTCACAGCATTATGTATGCTGTTACTATCATTCTGTGTGGCAGGTATCGTGTGGTTGTGCCCTACCCCCCCCAGAGCGAGGCAGAGATCGAGCTGCGGGAAGGAGACGTGGTGTTCGTCCACAAGAAGAGGGAGGACGGTTGGTACAAAGGCACCCTGCAGAGGACGGGACAGACGGGCCTGTTTCCCGGGAGCTTTGTCGAGAGCTTCTGAACTGGAGAAAGTGGACTAAACAACACACACTCCTGTTCCTCAGTCACAAAACGCACACACACACAATCTACCAGTTTACAAAGCTACACACACAACAGTTGGACCAATACTGGTTTCCCAGAATTATACTTTTGGATTATAAATGGATACTGACCTGCAGAAACACCTGTGTCAACTTGCCTTAAAAAGCTGCGAGCCGTAAGAAAGTAATTTATGGATTTCGATTGAGCATTTAAGTTTTACATAATGGTCAAAATACATTTTATAGTTTTTCCACAGAATAATCTGTCAGTAAAAACTGAACTGGTCAGAAATCATTATTAATGGTGATAGTCTTCAGAAACCCATATTGGTCCAATTAATTCACACACACGCACGCACACACAGCAAATCTAGGCTCAGCTTCGACCGGCCCAGCCACACAGGAAGCGGGGAGGCGTTTCCCCTCATTCGTCCCGGGGACAGCACTGGGTCAGTTGACTACCGAAAGCACGCAGACTCAAAGAGCACAGAAAGACAAAGCCTGCCTCCCAGCTCTCCTCCCTGGCATCATCCACCAGCAAACACTAGCACAAAAAGCATTAGCTCTGCTTTCCACTGAGACCTCAGAACTTGAATTTGGGTGCTTTCTCTGTTTAAAAAGTGATAATTTACCACCAGGTGAGCCAAAACTCCAGCACATCTCAGCGTCTAGTTCGTGACAAGAACCTTGTTTCTTTTCAACCCAGTATGTGTTAACAACAATGCATGTAGCATTATTAGGTTCTTAAATGTTGAAATAGATGTTTGTATTGCCCCAAATTAGTCTTTTTGTTTTTAATTGGTGCAAAAAGTAAAATCTGAATTAAGTGATTCATTTTTTCTATTTACATACTGTAGGTTACATAAATTTGTATACTTTTTTTCTTTACATTTGACCTCTGAGAGCTGCGTTAAACAGAATTAACGGGCTTGCTGAATGTAGACAGAAACAGATGGTTGCACCAAAACTCTTAAAGGAACTGATTTGTATTTGTAGTGCTTCTCTGTGGGAAAGAGAATGCACTTTGTAACATCTGACACAGCCTACTCAGTATTTTACACATGCCAGTGTTATTTATTTCACTAAAAGGATTCTATTGCCTCTTGTCACATCACTGTAATTTAAGAGCAAACTGTTTTGTTTAAGCAGGTACAAACCTTCTTGATAGGACACAGTTATGTTGAAACTTTTATCCAGTCATTTTAGATTGGAATGTAAAAATTTCACAACACAAACCAAAAGAACTGATGGCATTGTTTGTCCCAGACATCAGCAACAGTATTCCTCTCACTCAGCCTTTTCTTGAGCTACTGTCAAGAGTTATTTGTCTGACTGCAATGAAATTGTGAAACCAAACGTTATGGAAGAAGGTACAGCTGAAGGGGAAACGCCTGTGAGTCAGAGAGCAGGGGCACAGGTTTTTCATCGTACAGCTGCCAACTTTGACAACAACTTTTCTTCAGATCTTGTCGACTTTTAACAAGTATTTTTGTACCGCTTCAGTGAATGTATAGTCAGTCCGCTTTGTGAGTTTCTATGCGTCCTGAGTGTGGATTCAGGCTTGTCTAGTTTACATCCAGCCACAACCAGCTACCTGTTTTGAAAATAGAAGCACAGTGAAACCCGGAGCCTGACTCGCTCACTGTGTGTGTGTGTTTTGTGTATATGTGGGTGTCGCAGAGTGAAAGATCAGCAGGATTTTGATACTAACCGTGTATCAGAACACAGTAGTAGGGCAGGAGTGACTTTCCTCACCTGAGCCAGAGCAAAGCACATGCTGCCACCGGCCATGTGCACACAGGTGAGGCTCACTCAGTGGCTGAGTGGATTTATGGTCCATATGGAAAAGAAAACAAATACAACTGTTTAAAGATAGAAAATATAACACAAACTGAAGATGGCACAGATTCTAGTTTCTTTGTTTTTTTGTTTTCGTCTTGTGTTTTGCATTTCATCAGTGACAAACTGCCCAGAGTCAGCCAACCTCTAGAGCATCTGTCAGCTTTAGTCGTGTTGTATTTCCATATAATGTGACTGCAGAATAAACACAAAGATTAGAGACCTTCCACAAAGCTCTCCACAGAATTGCAGTAAACAAACACAAGACAGAAGTGACAGCACAGATGATACATCAGAATGAAAAATGCAGTTTTATGCCACAGGTTTTCTATCAGCCTCTCCCCTCGTGTAGATTCTAAGTCTGATACTTTTGTCCATACAGTTATTATCAGCACAATACTTTAAAGTTAAAATTGGCAGAAAGAGGACTGTGACTAAAAATGGGGATGACCTGTTATGGTGTTGCCATCGAGGAGACAAAAGCACAAGCAAATTGTTTTCCCACTGTTTGAGTGTGTGTGTTTGTGTGTGTGTGGTTTGGGGTGATGGGGGTAAATTGGCCTAAATTCATTAAACTGTGAAGGAAAATGAACAAAAATGTGGAGGGTAGATCAACTTTAGCAAGCGAGAACACACACAGTCATTCTAGAGAGGAACATGGTCTACAGTCATTATCTGGCAGCTGGCAGTGCACTATGGGTAATCTTGCATATCTGGAGCGGCAGATGAAACCAAAACCACACTAAGATTAAAAAAAAAAATTCTGCAGGTCACAGCTCACACAGACTAGAGCTAGACTGACATTTTTTAATTTAGAATTGTCAAATGGTTTAATTTCTTACATATTTAATTTTAAATTGGCCCATTTTTCTATAAATTTACTTTGTTTTGTAAGTGTGGTGTTTTAGTAGTTCACCCAAGAAAAAGCGCCGTTCTATTAGTTATGAAAAGGGTGAAAACTAAGAATATTAGTAGAAGCTTCAATCCAAACATAGTCACTCATAGTCAAACTCTAGTGCCTACAAATGCCAACACACACACACACACGAATACACACCGGCATCTAACTAGTTTGTCTTCTTCTTTCGCACATCCTTCATCTACTTTGTTGGTACAATGAGCCAACTAGTTGGTTGACTTGACTCGATGACAAAAACCAGCAGTTCCCAGAACAGCTCTGTACAAAACCTCAGAGAGAGGTTTTCTTTATGTCTTTGTACGCTCGCTGAATGGAGGACTCTAATTTCTACTGAGTCTAACTTAAGCACAAGTCCTCATTTGTGTCGGAGATCACCGGGTCTCTGCAGCAGTTTCTTTTTCATGGGGTTGACGCTGTGAAGAGGAGGAGAGGAGTTTACAAGAGTCAGAACATCAGGAATACAACCACTCCACAGTGGTCACTTTATATCGAATAACTTGAACAGATGGTTTCAGAAATATTTTCAGTTTTATTTACATGATGGAAACTTGTCTTATGCTTCAGCTTCCTGATTGTATATGTACGACAGAGTTTTCATGGTGACAGCTTGAAAAATGTTTTTTTTTCTTCCTTATGGCTTGAAAAAATGAAAAAAAGCCATTAACAGTGGTGGAAAATCACTTTGGACATGAAACACAACATTGCACATCCAGTTTTTCATTGGAGTTGATTATCATATTGCTGTCCGCTCACTTCCCAGGAAGCCTGAGCACTCACCCTGCCATCTTGAATTAGATGTCAGCCATGTTTTTCCTATGTATACTTCTGTGTGTGTGTGTGTGTGTGTGTGTGTGCGCGCGTGCATGTGGGAAGTGACAGGGCCTCTGTTATGTAGCTCTTTACATATAAAAGGAGCTTTATGAAAATGTTTGGTGTGACACGGACACTCATGCCTCATCAGGACTCTGAGCCGGGTTGTTTGAGTACAGTGGTACAGTGTGAGAAACTGAAAAAAAACCTGAAAATATATATATAATTCTATATTGTGCAGAATATTTATTGGCCTTTTGCACCACTGAAGTCATGCTCTGTCCTGGCCATGTCCAGCGCTCTACCATGTGATCATTATGCATTGTCTTGTATTGATGACCCGTGGTTGATTTGATTGTTTTTTCATGTCAAGTGCATTTTTCGCAATAAATGCCTTTGTTTTAAAACTGATTTAAAGTGTCTTTTTGCATCTGCCTGCAGCTTTACAATTCAGCTCTGATAGTGTGATAGGATACAATACACATTTGTGTACTCATGCATAACAAACACGTCTGTAAAAGCAATAAGGATTTTACTAGTGCCTCTTGGAGGATTCATCCTGAGAATCACGTTGTTCTAATACAATACATATAATGATCTGCACTCACAATGTGCTCATTATGAGTTTATGTAGGAGGAACACTCCAGGTACAGTTATCTTACAATGTAATCTTGTCTTTATTGTTAACAGACATGTTAAGAGATAATGCTGACACTGTTGCTGTCTTTTCATCATTCCCCCACCTTTTCTTTGCCATCTTTCTGTCCCTCTGTCTCTCTGGTATTCTCAAACCAACACTGGCATCCTCAAGGTGTGTAATTTGTAATTTCAGAGTTTCTGAGAGCACTCCCCTTAAGTGACAGCCTCACCTCTCCACCAGCCAGGCCTGTCTCCAGTGATCACCTCCATTTGCATTTAGAGTGACTGGCAAAAGGTGACAAAGATATGTTAATGCCTGTATGTGTGAGAGGGAGCAGAGGTATGACAGCTATCTTGGATGTAAGCGTACTCAAAAAGTCTTGACTCTAACACAGAAACTCAAATTGCTAGACTTAAGGCAAGCAGGAAGCATTTAGATTTTTCAGACTTATGCAGTACAGTGATAGTGTTCCCCTCTGGCAGGAAAACTAGGAGAAATCGCTTCCCACCCAGAGAGTAGCTAAATGTGTCTGTACACACATATGCTCACTCACTCATGCACATACTTTCTCCACATTTTGCCTTGGTGAAATGGTTTTCCCCAGGTTTTCTTTTCCCAGGCTGCCACTGAGGTGCTGCAAACCCCTGCAGGAAATCGATCAGCATTCCTGTTTTGTGCCAGACCTGTCTGTCTACCTGTCTGTGTGCCAGCTGTGAGTCACATGAAGGGCAACACAGCCAGAGGGTGAGACATTGCAGGTAACAGGACCTCTATCAGGTCATACAGGGTGGTTCCTTAGTGTGTGTGTGTTTGTATAGCTATCATTGTGAGGACAAATGAAACTGTATAACCTTTGGAGTGAGGACTGTTAGGTATTTTTAGTCAGATAGATATTGGTTAGATACTTGATGTATTAGAAATGCTTAGAGTAGACAGGATGTCTAGCTCAGGCTGTTAAATGCTTAGTCATTCTCATGAGTTGCTGCAGGCTGCTTATGGTCAAGGAGAACTAGATAGAAAGTTGATGACTGTTAAAAGACAGGATGTTTAATATTATTATTATGACGTATGTATAGGCCTGTTGTGGTTCAGGGTCTTTCATCTTTTAGCTGCCTGCGTGCATGTTGGAGGTGCAAGATACCTGAGCGTGTAATGTTAATTTTGACCTGTGTTCACTGAATAAATCAGCACTATTTTGAAGTTACTTGGACTGCCTCGTTTCTCAGAGTTAACGGTGAAAAGAACTGGGTATCCAACAATTTGGTGCCGCAATGCTGTGCGCCGGTTAAACTCTCAGAGTACCAGTCCATTGTCCCGGACCAACACATGGTGCCGTAATCCTGTGCCTGGCTGAGCTGTAAATCCAACATTTTGTCCTGAATTGGCTGGGATCC